TCGTTGTATAATTTAAAGAAGAAAAAAACACTAAACTTATTGATTACTAGGGGTTTTTTCAATATTAATGAATTAAATTTTACTGTTACGAGTACAGAAAATATTTTACCTAGATAACAAGGACAAGTGAAAAACCATGCTTCATCTAAGGAGCACACTCTCACCCTAAACCTCTTTTTCTTTTTTCTTTTTTTCTTTTCTGAAAATAGGTAATGGACCCTGAACTTTTTCTTTACAAAAGTGAGAATGTGAGATGGTTTGAGATTGTACCATTTACCATACAAGCCGCCGATTCACAAACTTCAATAATGGCAACTCGATCTAGCTAGTAGACGAATTATTTTATTTTCACATGAAAATGCATCCCCATTCGAGATTTTTTTTTTTTACAACTTTTTAAGTTTCTAGTTGGACCGAACTCTACCAAACGGCTGGATAACTGTACACTTCATTGAGACCGATAAGCTGTTCATCAGATCTGAAGATCGAATTTTCAATTATTAATATATAACAATATTAATCTACTAACTATTGCCCTTATAAAAAATAAAAAAAAGTTTCTAATTGGACCGCATAACCTTATAAAACTAATAAATCTCACAATCAATCCGTCCATAATATAAAAGAAACACCAACATCAAGGATCCATTAATGAGATAGTTGAATGTATATAGGCTGGCAAACAGCACAACATGCAAGGGCTATTGGTACCACTAGTCTATAAATTCGCCTATTAATTCCCCTAACTCCATAGGATTAAGAGGCCTAAATTAACCCACGATCCCTACCCCATTTATTTAATGATGCTTAGTTGTTATAGTAAACTCATCTTATTTATTTGACATTTATTATCCCCAAATTGTCCCCACGCCAATTTGACCTATGATTTTCTCTTACGATATGAAGTTGTAGAAGGATTTTTTAATTTGTATTAAAATATAGGTTAATAATGTAATAAATATATTTTTATTATGAATTTATATTAAAAAAAATAAAAATTAATTTTTAATTTATTAATTGTCTAATTTCATTCATTCAGTTGGTAACAATATTAAAATTAATATTCGTTTTTATTTTTTTGAATATGCATCAATAACAAAAGGTAATTTTAATTTGTATTCTAAAAGTATAGTTTTGAAAAACCTATTTTACAATTTCATTTGAAGAAAATAATTGTGATTGATCAATTACGTGACAGAATGTATAAAACTAATATGTGTTCTTTTTATTCATTTAATATCATATATTTATTATAAGACTTTATTTCTACTCTCTAGCTATGAATTACTATCTTTTTTATTTTCATACTTAAATTAAAATAGTACTACAATAAAATTTAATTATTCAAAATCCAAACTTAGGAATGGTGTCATGATCACCTTGCAAAATACTCTCTCTATTTTAAAATAATTTTTAAAATTTTTTAAATTAAAGATTTAAAGACAATTTATACATTTATCTATATTATGATATTATCTATAGAAAAAAGTAAAATAATTAAGTAAAATTTTTTTGTGATAAGATAATTAATCAAAATAAATAAATAAATAGTAATAGAATTAAAGTAAGAAAAAATATTTATTTATCTTAAAAAATAAAAATAAAAGTAATAAATTTAAGACAGATTTAAAATTAAATAATAACAATAATTTTGAGACGAGAAAAGTATATAAATTTCATGGAATGACTAAACAGGATTAATTAAAAGAAGTGATTAAGTTAGCAAATTATTACTCTTACAACATGCATGCTGTGCTGGTTAATTCGAGAGGGAGAGCATGTGAAAAAGTTGGGAGGCATCAATAAGTGCTTTTGGCTGCAGCTGCTGGGTTACACTTCCCAAGCAAAGTGGGAGAGCCAAAGCTAATGTAATGAAATTTTTTTTGGGTTAGTATTTATTTGTTTTATTTTAAAAAAATTACAAAAAAAATGATAAAAAAATATTTTAATTTATATTTTAAAAATAAAATATTTTAATTTTTTTTAATATGTATTTATTAAAATGATATAGTTTTGAAATAATATTCCTCATAATCTTTTAGAGATAAGATGAATAAATATTGTTTTTATATATATATATATTTTAAAAAAATTTACCTATCACTTTCACTTTTTCCTCTTCAGGGCACATGAGTTTTGTCTATGGAGAGTGAATCTTGCTAAATTAATTACATTATGCACTCACTTCACTCCTTCCAAAGTGTATATATCATTAGTGGTAACTCCTCTCTTTCACCATATCTTAAATTATTGCTCGTCTTATATGACTTACATGTAGGGTTAATAAAAAAAAAAATATGGTGGTGTTTGCTTACATATTTTAAAATTAATTATTAAATTTAATTAAATGATACTTTAAATTATATAAATAATAATGATTATCAATTATTAAATATTGAATATTAATTACAACTGAATAGTTAACTAAAATATATATCTCATAAATAACATTTTAATTACTTAAGATGAATCTGGTTTCCCTGATGATTCTATAACTTCTTTTTTTAAAAAAACAGTTGCTCACATGATGTTTGAAAAAATCAATTGTAAGTTTTAAAGTGATATTTACTATCTTATCAATTAATAATTAATAATTATAACTAATAGTACCTAGATAAAACCGGGGTTTTCCAATTTCAGTAATTCATGCTTAAATTTTAAATATTTTAATGTAATTGATCAAAAATTTAACTTACACAATACTTTAAAAAAATATCTCCATTCTCCAAATTCCTCAATGTTCAAAAAAAAAAAAAAAACAGTACTTAAATAACAGAGAAACTCGTAATATGTTTCAAAAAAAAAAATCTCTTTTCTGATCTCGTGTTCGAAAAAGTGCAATTAATTGAGCAGAATAATGCACCTATTTTTGTACGGTTATGATGATTAGTGCATTCATGGCATTAATTCATATTTTGTTTGGTGGGAAATAAACCCTATCCTTACATATATATATATATATATAAATGGACTTGATTTCCTTCAACATCAAATAAATATGATGACTCAATGTTGGGAAAATTGGTTCATTTTGATGTATAACCCCAACTTTTTTCTTGTTCTTTTATGATGAGAGACTGAGAGACTAAACAAGAGGCAAGATATAGCACTAAAACATGTAGAGTCAAGCCATGTCCCATGTGCCTCCTTTTGCGCCTCTCCTGGCCTCTTTACCAACTTTAAATTATTGAAGGAAACAAAAGGAAACAAAATGAAAAAAAAATGATGCATAAGAGAAATTCTACTTCAATTAACATTTGGAAAGTAGTACATTGCATATTTTCAATGTTTTAAAATACATTTTTTTCAACCATTCACGCTTGTGATATACATGGTGATGTCAAATTTTGAGTTTAAGTCCAAATAAGAGTAGATTTGATGAAATTTGTAAATGTTTTAATTTTTTGACACTATTTATATTTCATGAATTTAAATTTTTTATTTAAAAATTTACATCTTTTAACTTCTTTTTAACTTTAAAAAAACTCTAAATAATAAATTTTAAAAAGTTTCAAACTTTTGTTTTTTATCAACTTTCTTTTTATCCATTTCTTATTTAGTTTTTTTTATTTCTAAAAGTAATTTTTAAATTTTTTTCTCCAATAAAAATTTAAACTTATCATTCATAAACAGTGCAAAAAAAAAAATAAAAACTTCAAAAAACTTCACCAAATAGGTCCTAAATCTCGTCTTTAATATTTGTTATGATAAAAAAAAAAAAAGAAACATTATTTTATATATCATTAAAAGGCCAAAGGGTAGAGAAATTAATCTCCTTCATATTCAAGCAACGCTAATTTATATTATAAGCAATACACAGACAAAAATACAGGAATGAGAAGAAAAGGAGGGGAAATTTAATTTAATTTGGAACGAGAAATTAGGGTTTTACATAAAAAATTTGGGTTTCCATGTGGGTTGGTACAGGGCATTCATTAACAGTCTTCAAAGTGGTCCAACTACCAAACCCTAGAAAGAGGAATCAGAATCTCATATCTTCATGATTCACGCAGCATTCCCAAATCCATTTCCCACCCAATCAAACACTTGCTCCTATTGCTAGTATAAAAAATATATACACTACTCTACCTAATGATATCTTGTAATACAATTATGAAATCCAAAACAGAGTCCCATGCACGTTTCCCTGGACAAGGTTTCATTTGATTAATGTTCTTTTTCCTCCTATTTAGCCTCTTATTTTATATACATTTCTCAGACATTAAAAAGCCTTAAAATAAGGTGCAGAAAGCAAAAGATACCCTACATATATATGATTGGAATTGCAGGAAATTTTTTAGAGGTATATAGCTATAGGATGGAAGATAATATCACTTCATTCATGGAATTTTTAACTGGCAAGGAAGAAGAGGAGAATGTGAAATCTAGTTGAATTCCCTTCATAGAAAATTAAGGAATGTGTAAAGAATATGAGGGTCAGTGAAAGAGAACGTGGGAGTTTCTAACTGAAAATTGTGCTATTTTTCACGACATTCATTGTAACCAAAAAACAGGGGACCAAGAACCTTAATTGAGTGAAAACTTGAATGAATCTTATCATGATGAGCTGGTAAAGAATTTTCTAATTAATCTGTTGATAATGGGTTATATTGTAAGAAACCGCTGTACTCTCAATAATTCACCTTCATCTATCTTAGAGGTTTATGATGATAATAAAGGATAATTATGAGTTAAAAGTTGAAATCAACCTTTTCATCATGCATTTTACATTTTACATATTAAAGCAGACAATATCCAGTGATATGACACATTCTAAATCGTTTACATCTTCTAAATGCCCTTAATTAGGAGGTTGAAGGTAAAGTTTGAGAAAAAGCTAAAGTGGCCTGCAAGGTCTGAAATACTGCAAATGCATGTGAGATGAATGAAAAAGAAGGGATAAGAAAGAAAAGTTATGTATATATGCTGCGATGCACTTCCTATATGTATGACTAGTTTCTGACCAAAGTGACAAGACACATGAGGGACAAGCTAGGACCATAAGACTACGTACAAATAATGAGATGGATAATGTAGAACTGAAGTCATGCGTCCAAAGAGAGATAGCGCCTCACATGCTCCAACCCAGAAAGCTATGTAGTCTCATCCCGAAGGAATGCACATGGGCTGTGGCAGCGTGACCTAGGAACCCCACCCATTATCATCACACCATCCACCTGCAAAGAGTACTTACTCTTCACCCTTTTAGTAAAAATGGATTTCGATCTCAAGTAGTTCTGGATACAGATGTTACTTTACCGACTTAATTAGTTAATCTAATCTATACTTTGAGAAGTTTGACCTCATGGTATCTAAAATGGATCGCATCTTTCTACCTATATGCATCAAAACTACTTGCTCAGGCAGCTGGTATCTGTAAACTACCTCGTTAATTTATAAATATTAGTTTTTATTTATATAAGTAATAGAGGGATTTGGTTCTTACATTTCAATCAATGTTTTTCTCACTCTATCATTTGAGTTAATTTCAAAAGATTTATGCATCAAATATTAAGAGTGTTGATTAAATTGATGAGGAGCTTAGCGACTCGAGCTTAATTAGTGTTAAATATCATCGGCCACGGGAATCTAGTCCAAAAGTACAGGTTACATTTGCTATGGGAATTCTCCCAATTCCAGATCAACTAATTTGCTTCACAATTACCTATTGTGGATCAAGTTTGGTAAAATTGTAAACTTCAAAAACAATGAGGTCAGATTTAGAGACAAACAATATATTAATTTGTTACTTAACTTCAGATAATTCCTCGGAAAACATGAGGGTTTTCAAGACCAAGATATACAAAAAGTGCATGTTGAAACAGCAAGCAAAGGGACCTGGATCGGTTGCTTAATCAGAAAAGTACCAGCTGTGGCACTGTAAAATATTGGAAGGGGGGGTGGAGGGGGAACAAAGTTTATGAAAATTTAGCAACGGCAGACGTCCCCCGAGGGAGATTAGTCTGTCGTTAATTAATGAAGTGGATTACGTTCAAGGCAAACTGGCAAACCATTGCCGGCCGCTTGATTTTCTGGCACTTGCCACGGCGACAGATGGCCTGATACATTGGTCATTCGATGTAGTTATTTGGAAAATGATTTTTTGTATAATTTTTGTTTTATTTTTTTTTATAATTTGAGATATTATTAAAATAATTAATTTTTTTAATTCGTATTAAATTTTTAATATTAATTTGGTATTTAAAAATTGTAT